AGTGCCCAATAAGCATTTGCTGGGTAGATGGATGGATGAATGGATAAATAGATAAATTAACGAGCTCTATTTGCCACATCCCAACATGGCATTAGTAGTTTCACACTACTTAAAATGGAAAAAATAAAATGACGTTTAGGAAAATGGACACAAACAAGATAAGGTGAACATGTGATATAAACAAAACGTGTGTATGGATGAGATTAAGGTTTCATTGCTTCTTACTTGGAAAAGTATATATTATTCCTTGCCATGACTAAGTACCTCCCCATCCCAAACTCACAATAAAAATTTATAGCATCCCCATACTATCACATGTTCAGTATGGAAAATAATCTGTTTGGCCTCAATGTGCATTGTTATAAATTTAACTGACCAAACAGAGTTTTTCTTACAGCAATGGAAACGTGTTCTGATATGTAACACAAAGCTGGGAGAAAAAAATCAGACGGTAGAATCAATGCCTAACTGAGTTTTTAGTGCCAAACACAGGACATTCTGTCACTCACACAGCCCACCGTTATCAATTTCACCAAAATAGCCTCTACTCGCAATAACTGACATTTCTGGGCAATGACCCTTCATTCTCTGATAATTCCACAAAGGGCAAAGATTTGTGTATCTTAACGAGTAAATAATCTGGAAGTGGAGCATGTGAAACAAACCATTCCTCCTTACCATCCGGATACCTAGCTGCAGGACAGTCGACTTTTCAAAAGTGCCGTTGTGGTCTGAGATCTTCTGTAAATCTATTCCTAGTCTTTCCATCACCATAAATCTGTAACTATAAGAAAGAGGCATCAAAAAGAGATATTCCTGATACAGGGATGCTTGGAACTGTCTATTAATGAATTTGAAACGAGGAAAAGTACCCCCAACCTAACAGGCAAGGATGATGCAATCTGAACCCTGAGAGAATGTACGCACACTAATAATCCTGTGGCTGTTTGGCAGAAAGTGACTACACAATATTTTCTTCATAGTTACTGTTCTAGTAGAAGAGACTGCAGTGCGGACCCATTCACTGCTGTGGATCATGAGAACGGAAACATCTTTTTAAATCAGACAGTCTTGAATGTAATACATTTCGACTTCATCACCCTTTCACCATATGACCTTGAACAAATTATTTGCACACACAGAAAATTTCATTTATATTTGTTTTTTGACCTTATAAAATCAAATTTGCTTTCTCTATACATTTACAAGCCACTGTTTTATATAAATGCATGAATGTCATCATGACACACAGGCTTTTTACTTATTT